CTACCTGGAAGGGCTGCTGACCAAGCCTATTGTGAAGAAGTACTGCCAGAACATTATTGAAGGGGCCCTCCTGCAGCTGCGTTCTGGTGATGGATTGCAGAAGTCTCTAGTGCCGGTGACAAGCAGCAGCAGCAGCAGCAGCAGCAGCAGTAGTAGCAGCAATAGCAATAGCAATAGCAATAGCAACAGCAACAGCAGCAATAATAAGAGCACCAGCAGCACTGTCGTCCCTGTAGAAGAAAATCCGCCCCATAGATTAAGTATGTGTGCCAAAAGAATGATAATCTTTGAACACCACAAGCATCCCTTTCTCTACAGTGACCCATACTTTGTGGAGATTTACAAAGTGCCCTCACCTTTGACTTTCCTTGCTCACAATAGAATTGTCACTACCCTTAGCTCTCTGGTCTCTCCAGACCATGACATCTGTCTCTGCCCAGCCCAGGAAAGACGTATGGGTGTATAAACCAGCCCAAAACAGTTGGCATCACTGCCAGACCACTTGTGTCGGGATGGTGTGGATGTGGCATATCTGAATGAGTACATTAACATTTTGAGTGACTGAGATGGATTACTGGAGCTAAATTAAAGGAAGTAAAATGCTACAGTGTTCAGAGGAACCGGTGGGCATTAGTGGCTCAACTACTTGATTCCTTTATATCCTTTGACCTAATGGTATGCTCTCAGCAGTGCATACTTGTTCTGTTGCCATCTAAACTGTTAATAAGTGGCTGAAGTATGTTTCACTGAAGCTCATTGACTTGGGAAGCCTGTGTCTTCAATGATGAGTTCTCTTGTATTTGTGACATCCCAGTCTTGAAGATCTACAATCCAGTTAGTGCAGAATGGAGACAAATTAATATTCCTTTGGTGTAGGGACATAACTAAAAATTGTTGCGTGTCACCTCATGTACCCACAGCGGAAAAAAGAATAGGGTGTTACTGTGACAGTGAAGAAGACCAGTAGATTAATGTAGGTACAACATTAGGCCCCTTGAAGTTTGACCCAATTTTTTTTTCTTTTTTGCCTCAGCCGGTGTTTATCCTTTCTGCCTTGAATCTGGTCAGAGTTTCCTGGCTGAAGAAGAAGCAATACCTAGCGAACCTAGCATCAGTTGGGACTTAGGTAGGTTGGGTGAGCTGGTCTATGACTCAGGAAGTTCAGGCTCTTTTTATGATGATGATTTTGGGTTGTAGATAACATATCTGAAATTCATAAGACCAGGGATGTATGGTGTTACACTGCTGTGGAACTTTCAAGCACTTCTTGAGAGAGGATCTTTACCTCTTCATGAGGTTATAAGGGCATTAATTGAAAGTTTGATTAATGCTTGAAATTCATAATTCAGTGTGAAAAATTTTAGCACTCAAATTATTTAACAATTTACTGTGCCCCAAATGCAGAGGGCTTGATAGTATGTTTGTTTTGTTATCTCTTAATTTTAAATTCTACCTAGGGCCACAAACACTGTAGGTTTTGAATTTAAATTTTTACCGTTGAAAAGTACTTGTAGAGCAATTGCTAGATGGTGATTTGGAAGATAATATTCAAAACAATGTAGTAGATTTCCACAGTATTAAAGTACACTGATATTTATTTGTTTATTTTATATAAGTGCTCTACCTTCATGTGCCCCAGCATACCAGAAGAAGGCCTCAGATCTCATTATAGATGGTTGTGAGCCACCATGTGGTTGCTGGGAATTGAACTCAGGACCTCTTGAAGAGCAGTCAGTGCTCTTAACCTCTGAGCCATCTCTCCAGCCCCAACACTGAATTTTCAGTGAACTGTTTTGCTATCTTAAATGCATTTTTGCAAGCATTTGGTTTCTCTACTGAGGAAAAAAGTACATATATCTGTTGTTCATATGTATCACACACACACACACACTCTCTCTCTCTCTCTCTCTCCCTTCCTCTCCCTCTCTCCCCACTCTCCCCCTTCTGGAATATATATATTTGGTTGACCAAATGTTTATAATGTACAGAATGGCTGCACACTCACTGAAAGTGAAAACAGCAACAACAAAAGAAAAGCCTGCTTGTAAAATAATTTTTGAGTATAAAATGTTTATTTGCAAAAATAATCACTATTCATCTAAAAGGATATTCAAATAGTGTTTCCAATTACCTATGATATTTTTTTAAAAATTGCTAACTTTTTGTAATTTTTTTTATCTCAACCTGATAATATCCTTCACTGAGTCAGAACAATCCTTTTTTCACTGGATATAATTGTGTACATTTTTTGTTGTCTTCTCATGAAAAGTAATGTGATCTCCAAAATATTTTGGCTGTGTATTTTGGGGATTCATCTTATTTCTTGTTCTCCAGAAAGAAGTAATGTTTCCAGGGTTTTGTTTCTCATTTTGAAATGGAAGGCTTGCTATTTAGTCTGGAACTCCTGAGTTTGAGTGATTTTCTTGCCTTAGCCTCCCAAGTGTTTGGGACAATAGGTGTGTGTCATTACCCCTAGCAAAGAATCATATATTTACTGTTTTGTCAAGTAATACTGTTTTGTATTGTTTTTTAAAATTAAATCTAATATTTTGTTGAGATCAGCAGTTATAGCTCTGAACTGTGGAATCAAGTGCCCACATAGAACTTTGAAATTTAAACCTCTGTATCAAACTGTTTTGTTTAGCATTCAAATTTTCTATTTGATTTTTGTTTTTTGAAGCAAGATCTTATTTATTTATTTATTTATTTATTTATTTATTTATTTGTTTGTTTGTTTTCGAGACAGGGTTTCTCTGTGTAGCTTTGGAGCCTATCCTGGCATTCGCTTTGGAGACCAGGCTGGCTTCGAACTCACAGAGATCTTCCTGCCTCTGCCTCTGCCTCCCGAGTGTTGGCATTAAAGGCGTGTGCCACCAATGCCCGGCTTGCTTCACTCTTTATCTCTCCCATCCTTAGTTTGGTTGTTCCACCTATACTTCCTGCACACAGTTTTACAGTGTACAGGATTATTCACAGCACTCGGAGGAGCTCTAACTCCAGTACTCCTGCTTGCTAGGCCGTGCTTTACAGACTGAGCTCTCACTCAGCCTCAACATTACTTTCTCTGTCTTTATTCTGTAACTTTCTAACTCTTCAGTATTTATTATCCAGTGACAGAAGACAGAGGAATGTGCTCCAGGATGAGGAACTAAACCTGTGGATGAAGCTCATAAAGTGAACATGGAAAGAGGGAAATATAGAAGAATTAAAAACCTTTTAACATCATTTTTAGTGAAATAAAGTTCTTACCCCCTGCAGTGCACTAGTATGCTTTCTCAAGAGGGAAAATGTGCTTTAGTTGCCGATCACGATCTGATCTACATTTCATTTCCTTTGGTGTGCAGAAACACCGCTCTTAAAGCTCCTTCCCAATGGTGCTGTTTTATGGCCATCTCCCCATGCAAATATACATTTGTGAATTAGAGAGTTGTTGTGAAATATTTTAACTATGCAAAGATGTTTTACATTTGTTTTTGCTGCAGATTATTACTTTAACTGTGTAGAGGTGTGTTTCTTTTGTTTATGCTGCATTTGTTTAACAATGTAATGATGTAAAGATGTGTTGCATCTGTTTTACCTTGCCTGCCTAAGTTACCTGATTGATCTAATAAAAGGCTGAATGGCCAGTAGCTAGGCAGGAGAGGGATAGGCGGGGCTGCCAGACAGAATAAATAAGAAGAGTCATCTAGGTTTGAGAGGGGAAAAGAAGAAGGAGAGGATGAGAGATAATCCTTGGGTCAGAAGCCAGGTGGATGACAGCCAACCAGTGAAAGTAAGATATACAGAAGAAAGGTAATAAGCCCCGAGGCAAAAGGTAGATAAAGAGAACTGGATAATTTGTTAAAAGAGCTAGCCAGAAACATGCCTAAGCTAGGCCTAGTATTTAAAACTAAGAAGTTTCTGTGCCATGATTTGGGAGCTGGTTAATGGACCAAAAGAAAAACAAAAACAGGGAGTTTTGTTTTCTAGATTAGTTACTTTAATTTATCTGGTTAATTACCAATTAATGGAGTAGGTTGTATGTTAATACTTGTAACTGGTTCACTATCAATAAAGCATACTAAAACTTGTGTTTCCTGACTTTAATTAAGTGGTTCTGCTTACTGTATAAAACCTTTGGTCGTATAGTGTAACACAGCTACCAGGGTTGAAAACCTTTTTGACATGAAAGCTTCCTTGTCTTCATTTCTCAGTTAGCATATCTTTCAGCAGATGCTCAGTGCAGTATCATTTGCAGGATTAATACTTAACAAAATTTAGTATGACCTGAGGGCTGGAGAGATGGCTCAGCGATTAAGAAATCTTGCAGAGGACCTGGCATCAGTTCCAGCACTCATGAATGGTAAAATTGCTGGTAACTCCATTTCCTAGGGATCAGATGTCTTCTCTGGCCTCCAAGGACACTGCACACATATGATGTATGTATATACATACAGATAAAACTTACACATAAAATACTAAATGAGTAGAATGACTTAATTATCTTGTTTCTGTATGCCTGTAGTTAGAAGCTCAACTCAAATTACAGTTAATTTATCCCCCCTGGGGCCTGGAGAGAAGCTCAACAGTTAAGAGCACTGACTGCTCTTTTTTGTTGTTGTTGGTTTTTTTTGGCTTTTCAAGGCAGGGTTTCTCTGTGTAGCTTTGGAGCCTATCCTGGCACTCGTTCTGTAGACCAGGCTGGCCTCTAACTCACAGAGATCCACCTGCCTCTGCCTCCCAAGTGCTGGGATTAAAGGCATGTGCTACCAAGGCCTGGCACACGGACTGCTCTTACAGAGCACTTGAGTTTGGGTTCCAGCACCCACACAGTATCTGACCACCATCTTTGACTCCAGTCCCAGGGACTTCCTCTGGCCTCCTCAAGTATTGCACCATCAATACAAGGAGGAAAAACAACATATACATTTAATTTTTTTTCAAATAAAGGGTGGGACAAAGGGTCCAAAGGATAAAATAGAAACTATATTAGTTACTTCTCTTGATGTGGCAAGACAGTGGATTTCAGAAGCAACTTAAGAGGGCTTTATTCTGACTCCTGGTTTAGAGAGCACAGTTCATCATAGAAGGGAAGGCATGGCCAGGATATCCACTTCTGGGGCAATGGGAGGATAGGGCTGCTTGCTTTACATCTCTCTGCAGAGCAGGAAACAGAGCTCCGGTCCACCTGAAGTCGATTTGCCCTATAACCCTCTGTGACTCTAGTCTTCTGGCTGCCACCCGGGCCTCCCATTGAGAAGGTTCCAGGGCCTAACAATACATAGCATCACCAGATGGAGATCACATATTAAAACACAGGATATGTATGTATGTATGTATGTATGTACATATGTATCTGGTTTTTGGTTTGTTCAGAACAGGTTTTCTCTGTGTAACAGTCCTGGCTGACCTGGAGCTCACTCTGTAGATCAAGCTGGCCTTGAACTCACTGAGATCCCCCTGCCTGTGTCTCCCAAGTGCTGGATTAAAGGCGAGTGCTACTATTGCCCAGCCAAATACCGGAGTTTATAGGGCACATTTCACACTCAAAAACATAAATAAATTTAACTATTAACTTGTCTATTGAGAAGACATTGAAAGTAAGTTACAATTTGTCTTATTTTAAATAAACACAATGTTATTTATTTTTGAGACATTCTCACTCTGGCACCCTGGCTGGCCTGGAACCCCCTTTGTACACCAGGATGACCTTGGACTCAGATATCTGCTTGCCTCTGCTGGGATTAAAGTCACGTGACACCATACCCAGAATATTTATGTGTCTGTCTTTTTGAGAATCTGAGAAAATCTATTCATTCCTCAAAAAAGGCCCATATTCATAATTTATTACTTCAGGTGTGTCTTAACACTTTGATAGCTCATCAGACCTGAAGTTAAAGCAGGATTTCTCCCTTCAATACTTCATTATTTTTAACAAATGTTAATGTTAATTTTAGCCAGTATGTTGAATGCATAAGAAATTACAAAAAGGACTTTCAGTTGAGTAACAAGAACTTTTGAGAACCAACAAGAGAAATAAATGCAAATTAATAAAAGGACTGCCAGGCATGGTGGTGAACGCCTTTAATCCCAACACTCAGGAGTAGAGGCAGGCGGATCTCTATGAGGCCAGCCTGATCTACAGAGCGAGTTCCAAGAGAGCAAAGGCTTTATAGAGAGACACTGCCTCCAAAACAAACAAAACCCAAATCAACAAACAAAAAACAAACCCACAAAAGGGGGAGGATGCTGAGAACTGGCATGGTGGTTGAGAGTACTCACTGTGGGGGCTGGAGTCATAGCTCAGTGGTTAAGAGCATGGGCTGCTGTTCCAGAGATCTCAGGTTCAATTCCCAGCGCCCATGTGGCATCTTGCAACTGTCTGTAACTCCAGTTCCAGGGGAGCTGACACCTTCACACCGATGCACATAAAAAAGTTAAAATTAGATTTTTTTTTTAAGACCTGAGTTTTCCCACCAGTACCCACATGGAGGCTCACAACCACAAATTGAAACTCCAGCTGCATAAGAGAAGCGGTTACATCTCAGAGTTGTACAAAGAGGCAAAATTTGGTGCAGAACAAGAGGACTTCTTTTTTTTTTTTTTTTTTCAAATGACATTTGTTACTTCGATATATGTCACTAAACTCTGTCATATGTTGATTTTAAGGAACATGGAGGCTGGGTATGGTGGTGCACACCTTTAATTCCAATGAGGTAGAATTTAAAAAGTAATTGTTAAACACTGATTTACTGATTTAATTCGTGATTTACTTTAATCCCTGCTTGTTCTACCTATTGCCAAGCATTACTTCGCTTGCTCCCTGTATAGAGAAATAGCTCAAACAAAGATGTTGCTCTTAGCAACCTGATCACAAAAGCTTACACCTGCCAACTGTTACATAAGTCTTTGAAAGCCAAAAGCCACCCCCTCAAAAAAGTGGCTCTTATGTTTCTGTTTGCCTGTCTGGTCACTCCCCCCATGGTGTGGCTTTAGAATATAAAATGAGGCAAACTGGACTCAAGATGGAAGCCGGCCAAGAGCTATTTTGGCTTTGATCCACTGGTGACATCTCTCTCACTCCCATTTGTATTTGAGCATGTATTCCAGATGCCCACAAGAACAACACTCCAGAGGGAGAAGTAGGCAGAGCTTTGAGTTCAGGACTATCTAAGAAGTTTCAGGCTAAACCAGGACTATATGTGACAGCCTGTCACAAAATAAAATAAAAATCAGGATGTTATTTTAAAATGTTGCTTCTCTTAAGAAAATAGTAGATGCTGGATCATAGATTAATTTCCTAGAACACACTAGACTATTTAGCATCTTCCCAGAATTTTCTGTGCTTGTTTTTGTAGAGCTGTGTGAAAATCATCTACCTGTCCCCAGCCATCACCCCATGGAAGTTCAATTCATTAAATACAGTAGTCTTCAAAATTTAATTTCTTGCCCAATTCTTGGGCTGCAGTTATGTCATGGTTTATACCATGGTTCAGTTTAATTGTTGTCCTAGTTAGCTTTGCCTGTCAGCTTGTCACAGTCTAGAGTCGCCTGAGAAGGGCTTCTCAATTAAGGGATTGCTTAAATAAGATTGGCCTGTGGACAGTCTGTGAGGGATTGCCTTGATTATTGATGGAGGACACGGGCCCCTGGAGGCAGTACCATTTCCTGGGCAGGAGGTCCCGGAACTCTAAGAATGCTGGCTGCATTACTTGTGTTGCTGTGATGAAATAACACAACCCAAGTGACTTAGGGAAGAAACAAGGGGGAGGCATGACAGCAGGTGGCTGGAGCAGTAAGCTAACAGATGACATCTTTAAACACATAGAGTAGAGAGCATGAACTGGAAACCTGGCAAAGCTCTACAATCTGAGAGCCTGTCCATGATGACATACACATCCTCCAGCCAGGCTCCACTTCCTGAAGGTTCCATAACCTCCCCAAACATCAACTGGGGGACCAAGTGTTCAGACACATGAGCCTGTGGCATGTTCCTCTTTCAAACCACCAAAATAGCCAAGCATGAGCCAGAGGGAGACAGCAAGCAGTGTTACTCCACAGTTTGGTTTGCAAGTCAGTGATGGCCTAACCCTATGAGCTGGAATTAACCCTTTCCTCCCCTAAGCTGCTTTTGGTCAGAGTTTATCACAACAACAGGGATGACCCTATAACCAACGTGGTTCACAGTATTCACCTAGTGTCACTTCTTGGGTGTTTCGGAAAACTTCAGAATAGCTACCAAGGAACGGTTTGAATAATTAATTTTCTCATCAACAATGATCTATGCATTCTTTGTACAAATAAAATATTCAAATTTTTATGATTTTCTTCAGTTAAATATAATAGAAAGTAAACTGTCTTCAGGGTTAGAGCGAGAAAGAACACCATTAAGTCTTGCTACAGGAAAGCCAGTACCTTAAATATGTATAGCCATTCTTAATATTTATTGTAAAAAACCATCCATATTTCCATGTGAATTTAAAATCTCAGTATTATTTAATGAAAAAAATCCCATCCTGTCATGTGCAGGACACATCAACTTTACTACTGTTTTCCATGTTCAGTGAAAAGTACTGGGACTGAATTCAGAAGATTCTCACACTCTTTCTCCAAAGTGTCATAATTTAAAGAATTTCCCTACTCAAGGAAATCAATAGTAAAGCTACAATAGTCACATACCAAAGCAATTCTTAGTTACATGCTTTACACTGTCCCATGAAAAAATAATTCAGTTGCTCCTAGGCCCTCATGCAAGGCACTTCAGAGCACCCGCACAACGTGCCCATGTAAACAGCAGTGCAGTCCCTCTTAAAACATGGCTCGCACACAGCTGGACCTAGACTCGAGGAAAAATAAGATCCATCGTTGCCACAGTTAAAAGGCATGTTAAAATTCACAAGAAACTGCTTCTCTTATTATTCATAGAACAGGCTACATAACCTCTGTGGAATATAAAAACCTTAGGGACAATAAAAAAAAAAAAAAAAAAAAGCGCATTCTGCGGTGGACCAAGGAACTAGGTGAGTGAATCTCTGCCCGCTCCCGACTCCAGCCCAAAACACCAAACACCCCGACCACCCCCACCACCCCCACCCCTGCCTGTGCCT